TGATTTATAAAGCCTATATCTTAAAATTCTAAACCCTAAAAAATGTTTTGACCCCTAAAACCCCATAAACCTTCATAACTAAACCCTAATAGAACATAATTAACCCAAATATAAATGATATAAAGAAAAATAATTTTGAAAAAGTGACATTTTTGTAAAGATTTCAAAAGAGTGGTATTTTTGTAAAGTGGCACTTGAAAAGTGGTATTTTTTGAAACTTCTCAAGATAGATAGATACATAAGCAAAATAATTATGTTTGGTTATAGGAATTATGTGATAAAGAGTGTTTGGATAGTGGTATAGTAGTAGGAGTTAATTATAGGATTTTAATTAAAAACAAATATTGAGAAAATTTGTGGTGATGACATCTAAGCAAATTTGGCAAGAATGCTTCTTCTTTAATATATAGAGGATACGTCCCAAGTCTCCATAAAACTAAACAATTTACTCCAAGACAACAAAGGGGCGATTGTTTTGATCTTCTCTTCGAAATAATTTGCCAAAAGAACAAAAAAAAAAATTAAAGATTTGCAGTAATTGCTCATATGTTTGGTTCTTAAAAAAGTTTTTTTTAGCCGGTTTGATATGCAATTGCATGCAATCATCTTTGTTTTGATTTAAGAGAAATTTCAAAAAATTCTATTTTTCAAGTGCCACTTTACAAAAATGGCACATTTTTGAAATCTTTACAAAAATACCATTTTTTCAAAATTATTTTTTTTTTAAATTATTTATGTTTGGGTTAATTATGCTCTATTAGGGTTTAGTTTTGAATGTTTAAGGAGTTTTAGGTATCAAACATTTTTTAGGGTTTAGAATTTTAAGATATAGGCTTTATAAATCTATAATTAGTGACATTTTTTTAAACGGATATCCTTAAGTGGTATTTTTGCAAATGTGCAAACAAAAATGACATTTTTGTAATTGCCCCATAATATCATTACATTTATTATTAATTCAGTAAATCCCTTATACACGAAAATTGGTAACTGTTGTGCTAATTATTCTTAGACATTTGTGTGACCCAAAAGCTCCAAACGAGGTTTCGTGTGTTTGAGAATTTTTTTGCAGCTTGAGAAACGAGATATATATTGAGTTTTAGGTAAAACTCTCTTACATGTTGGTCTCTTAAGTCACTGTAGGATGTAGGTTCTGGACACTGGAGCGAGTTTCATTTGGGTGGGCCAAGTTCGATTTTGGTGGGCCGAATGACGATATATTTTCTATTAAAAGTTGTAAAATAAAATTTAAAGCCTAATTTCCCGAAAAAAATGGAAAGGAGTGGAAGATGGACAGGAGATAAG